GGAACGGGGTGGAACCGCAGGGCTTTCCCTGAGAGCAGTTGCAGAGCTGTAGCAGGGCATCGGACGCAGCCTTTTCCCTTTGCTGTCACCATCAGGGTTGGCGGCTCACCTCATTACTGCCAGGCGTCTTGCAGGGAAGGTGCCACCTGCTTGGCTGACTTTGATTAAGCAGCTCCAATTTGTGAGCAGAGGGGGCTGCTGCCTCGCAGCCTGCAACCCATGCTGTGGGGCATCACCCGTCCTCAAGGAGCCTCAGGGCTCTGCTTCTGGAGCCTCAGGGCTCTGCTTCTGGAGCCAAGTGCCTGAGGACCAGGCCAAAGCAAGGACACCAGGTCTCTTCATCTTGCCCCACAGCAGCTCCCTGGCTTTTCCAGCACCGGCTTGCAAGAGGAGGGGAAGGGAGCTGAGCTGCCGGGGAGAGGAGAGAGACAGGCTGTGTGGTGAAGCCAAGTGGCGGTGTCCTCTCCAGCCAGGTCTTCCCGGGTGTTGCCGCAGCGGGTATTAGGATGAGCTGTTCAGGGGACAGGGTGGCTCTGAGGATGTGGGCCTCAGTGAAGCGAACTATCCCTGTCTGAGCTTTTTTGGCTACTGAGCTGGTGCTGCGTGATGATGTAGTGAGTGTCCTGGAGGCACCGAGACCCACCCTGAAGGTGGCTTTCTGCTGCCTCCTGCCCTGCCCTCTGCTGCAGAGCTGGTCAGTCAGATCCGACTTCGCAGGCAGGCTCGTGGCACCGCTGCTGCCCGGGAAAAGAAGTACCAGCTCCCCTCCTGGCAGCGAGGGGCCTCGGTCTGTGTTGCTCTTCCTCAGCCTGTGATGCTTGTTCTCGATGCTGGCTGTGAGCTGCTGGGAAGACTCAGACGTCGGGGTTTGGTGCAGAAACCCGCAGGGCTGATTCTCACTTCTGGCCGGCCCCTCAGGACAGGATGGCGATGGGATGGAGGAGATGAGGCAGGAGTCCTGTTCGTGGCGTTCAGGGAGAAGATCTTGTGCCTGCTTCCCATCCCTAACCTCTGCCAAGCATGGGGAAGATGCTGAGCCGGGCATGTCGGGGTGGCATGGAGGTTGCAGGGGCTGGGCTGGTGCCAAGGGCAGGAGCTCTGTGCGTTTGCCACGGCTTGGGGGAGGCAGGCGTGGGCCTGAGGCTGGGGATGCTGGCATGCCTTGCTGTGCACAGTGCCCTGGGGGAGCTGGGGAAGCAGCAGGCTGAGACCGGTGCCTTTCCCTCCTCTCCCCTCTCCAGACCTGGGCACACCCAGCCCGTGCCTGAGCGTGGAGTGCACCTTTGGGGCCACGTGCGTGGTGAAGAACCAGGAGGCCGTGTGCGAGTGCCAGCAGGTGTGCCAGGGCCGCTACGACCCCGTGTGTGGCACTGACAACCGCACCTACGGCAACCCCTGCGAGCTCGACTCCATGGCCTGCGTCCTCAAGAGAGAGATCAAAGTGAAACACAAAGGACCCTGCGGTAAGAGCCGACCTCTGGGGCTTCCTCCTCCTCGTGCTGTTGGCCGCAGCCTGGGTTTGCTTGCTGGGAGGAGACGGTGTCTTAAGCACGAACGTGGCCCTGGCCACGGGGAGACGGGGGGCTTTTGGGTTGTATTTGTGCTTTGGCCACGTAGCCAGGAGGGCAGGAGAATCCAGGAACCAACCTGAACGCTGCCTTCCTCACCAAGGAATGCCAGGCAGTGGGGAAAGCCTTAGGGTGAGGCAGATGGGAGTCGTCTACCCGTGCGAGCCGGCCCTGGCACTGCTGCCTGCACTGTCCCCTGACCCAGCAGACCTTCCTCCATAAGCTGTCTTACCCCTCCAACCTGCGGAGCTCCCTGCTGCAGCGCAGCGGAGGGCCCAGTGGGGTTCAGGTTAGAAGAAAATACTTGTACCAGCTCCACACAGTTACAGGAGAAACAGGGACGGATGCAAATACTTCAGCTGTTGGGGCACACGCGCTTGAGTAACTCACCTTAGAGGAAAGAGCTGCCCTTGTCTGCACACAGGCTGCCTTGAGCAGCCCTTCTCCCAACCTGCAGAGCCCAAGCTTTGTGCTGTAGATAGAAACCTGCCGGCCAACAGTCTGCACAGACCAAGCAGGGGGTTGTTGCATCTTCCCTCCCCCACGCAAAGGCAGCAGCTGCTGTGTGAAAGAAAAAAAAAAAAAAAAAAAAAAAAAAAAAAAAAAAAACTTTGAGCCAAATTCCTCACGAACTGAATGGCAGGGAGGGAAGAGGGGTGTTTGTCTGAAGGAGAAAATGAAGCCGTGAATCACTAAATACCCAGGAGTCAGGAGATGTGCTGGCTGGAGCCCGGTCTCTCCTGCAACGAGTGATAGCTCCTTTGCAAGTGAGTTATTACGAAGATAAACGTCTGCTCTGACCCGAGCCTGCGTGTGTGTGTGCTGGGCATGTTTGCAGCAAGCTGAGGGTCCCGCTGGGGGAGGTGGCAGGGCGCTGAGAACGGGTGCTATGTTATACACGCATCCAGTGGTGCTGGCGCCCTGATAAACCGGGGGAAGAGAGTATCCCCCTTCCCGGCCGCCCGCCTCCTCCCGCCCTGCTGATTTGTCATGTGTGAATCCTGCCGCCTCCCTCCCGTGGGAGACTGGCCGCTTGCTGCCTGGGATGCTGCGCTGCTCCTCCCAAGGCTGGGTCTGATTTATCACTCCTGGTAATCGCACTCAGCCCCGCGCTCTCTCCCGCCTCGTATTTAGCTATAACGGCATATACGGCTCCGGTGGCATTTCATCGCGGTTACTCCTGGCCCTGACGGCTTTTATGAGTAGTTATTGCCTTTTTGCCTCCGAGTCTGAGTCTCCCATCTCCTGCTGCCCCTCCCCTCGGCTCTTGCCTTGCTCTGGGGCTCCAGCTCCTGGCATCTGCAGAGGCTCGACCTGGGGGAGGAGGTCGCGGTGGGGTTTTATTTCTGCTCTGGCACTTCATTAGGCAGCGATGCCCGCCTGACCTGTTGCCTTAACCTACCAATTTCGTTCTTTGTCTGCACAGATCGCTGTGGCAAGTGCCAGTTCGGGGCCATCTGCGAGGCGGAGACGGGAAGGTGCGTGTGCCCCACCGAGTGCGTTCCCTCCTCGCAGCCCGTGTGCGGCACAGATGGCAACACGTACGGCAGCGAGTGCGAGCTCCACGTCCGGGCGTGCACACAGCAGACGAACATCTTGGTGGCTGCCCAAGGAGACTGCAGTGAGTCTGGCAAAGTCCCCTTCTTCCCTCGTCTCACTCCTGCTGGTGGCATTTCGGAGAGCGGATGCTCAGCCCCGCTGTCCGTGCGAGCCCCGCCGAGCTGCCTGGCCGTGGCAGTCCAAGGCTCGCCAGTCATCTCTGGCTCTCACAACCCATGGGTTTGCCAGTCCTGGGAGGCACCAGAGAAACCCCAGGGTCGGGATGTGTGGAAGGTCTCCCTAGCATTACTCCTGGTGCCTTTACTGGTTGTTTTCAGGACTTCCCAGGAGGATATCAGCTCCAGAGGAACAGGGCTTGGCCAGGGACACCCAGCAGCCTGGCCCTGGGCTGCAGTACCTGGCTGGTCACTTGGAGACCCTGCTTGAGGCTTTTCACCTCGTCTGGCGTGGTCTTCCCTTTTGGCTTCACAAGAATTGGGCATTTTGAGTCTCCTAAGCACCTTCTCCTTTTTAGCCCCAGCTAGGTGTCACAGGTGGTGTCTGCTGCCTTCTGAGCCAAGCAAAGAAATTGGGCTAATGGCCATTGATCCAAGCAAAGAAATTGGGCTAAAACCACCTTAATAGCTACCACCAGAATGGAAGGCATTGAGAGTCTATTTGATCGCACAATTCATCTCAGTAGCTTTCTCTTCCCTCCATCCCCTGGGGTTAATTCGTCTTTGCTCATGTGTTTCCTCCCCACTCCTCAGCCCAGGGAACTGTCTGTGCTAATTTCTTAATGAATTAAAAGCCCTGCCTAGGTTCTTCATTAGGACAAATGCTACTTCAGTAAAAGCAATGCTTTGAGCCTCATAAAACCTGTCCAGCTGGGTCTGGTGTTCCAGGGCTGAGCTGTGCATGGAAGTCCCCTCTAAATTTAGGAGAGAAGAATGACTGAGTGTGGCAGATGACTCTCGGTGCTCTGTGGGCACATCAAGCAGGAGGAGGCTGAAGTCAGAATACATCGTGAGAGTCAATGGGATTTCCTAGAAAAAGCTGTTGGGCCCAACCGCTGTGGCCGCTGTTGGGAGATGCTCAGAATTGGCACCGATGGGTTACGGAGTCTGCACGCTTGAAATATATATTTCAATAAGCATTGAATTCAAGCAATAACAAACCACTGTGGGGAAGGAGGACTTCTCTCCTTGCCACTGAGGGCATGGCATTAGCGGTCCCCAGCTCTGGGACAGCGGGCAGTTGGCTACAAAGATCCCTACCACGTCTCACTGTGGTTCCTCCCTCTATCCCCCCCAGAGTCCTGCGGCAGCACGGTGTGCTCCTTCGGCAGCAAGTGCGTGGGTGGGCAGTGCGTGTGCCCGCGCTGCGAGCGGCAGCCCTTCGCTCAGGTGTGCGGGAGCGACGGCCTCACCTACGACAACCAGTG